ATTAAAAGAATGAAGGAGAAAAAAGAGAAATAAGGTTCTAAGTTATAGGAGAAGCCATCTCAACAACTCATGGTTTCTTCTTTAATATATAAACCAAAATAAACAAAAATGCGAATGACCTCCAAAAAAACTGAATAGATGGAAAGAATTGAGAGGTTAAGAGAGATATTATGCTTAAACAATGTTAAATTGTTTCTTCAATGATTCATATGCCACTTTATCTACACAAAAAGAAATCCATATGCTTACATAATTCCAACTATAATGTGAATGTCTCCGACTAAAAAAAGAAAATATTATACTTACATAAACAAAAACTCATATTATGATTTGTCTTATTGAATGACACCTCAAATAAACAAAAATGCAAACAACATCCACAAATTTATAACTGAATAGAGAGAAAAAATCGAGAGATTAATAGAGAGATTATCATAGAAGTGTACCACAAAATTATACATGAATATAGAGAAAGAATTGAGAGATTATTATAGAGGTTTATCTTGAAGAAAAAATGAAAATTTGTAACCAAATAGAGAAAAATAATAAGAGTTAAAAGAGTAATTATTATAAGAAATATGAATAGGTTGAAACAACCTAATTAAAAGGTCTTAAATGTGAATATTAAAAATAAAAAACAAATATTAAAGTACGAAAAGCTTAAAAAAAAAAAAAGAGAAAAAAGATAAAACATTTTGTTGTTTTGAGAAGAGCCCACTTCATTAGACGTGGTTTCTTCTTTGAGATATATATAGATTCGCAGGCAGAAAAGCCCACTACACTGGTAAACCCTATAATATCATAGTTAGCGATTTCCCTTTGCCGATTTGGCGATTCACCTGCTGCTGAGGCTGCGAATCATCGCCCAACTGTTTATACCGGCGGCCGCTTCTTTGTCTTTTGCACAGGTAAGAGAAACACTTTTGCTAGTTAATTTTCGAAAATCGTCGCTTCTGTGATGTATTACTGTTCTTGATTCTGCGATTTGTTGGTCCAAACACCAGAACTTTGTCATTTGCTTTCTGCTCGTCATTTTTCATCAATGTTTACATTCAAACCCGACTACATTCGTCAATTGTTGCAGTTCATAAGCTTAACACGCAGGAAGAGCAGGTTTCAATGAATCAATGTGTGTGGATGAATTGACTTGGTGGGAGAGAGGAGAGGGGGGGGGGTTCTCTCTGTGTTAGCAATTCAAGTTTCAGATTCTGTCACCAATTCATATACGATTATTTTGTTTTTTAATTCACTTTAATCTATTACAAAACAGAATGGCCAAAATACATCTCATTGTTTCATTGTTCGACCAACTGTTCGACATAATTAATTGTATGGGACCATAAGGTGTAGATATACTGAAGGACGGAGCCACATAGGGGTCATGGTGAGCCCATGCGCACCTTGGGCCAGTGGCGGATCCGGGATGGCAAGTGATTGGGTGCACACCTAGAGGTATAAAAAATCCAAAGTCGAATAGCCCATCTGAGCCGAACCTCATTCGGGTAAAACGATTTCGGTTTATTCGGTTTTTGGGTTATTTGGAAATCCTTAGTAAAACGTCAGTAGCGATAGCAATGACCGCATAATCTGACAAAAATTAACAAGCATTCAAAAAGAACACGTATATATTACATATTCTTCTGTTTATTACATGAGTGTACCAAAAATATGAGGATGGATCTAATAGGATGTGCAATCAGGTTGCAGAAAACCACACCGCCATGTATTAAGTTGGTCCAGATATGGAAGGAACACTAGCTTGCAACATCTTAATATCTTTTAGCTTTAGTGCTTTTTTTTCAAGATAGTCTCTTTGACCTGTTATGACAAACTTCATGGCAACCTTTCTGAAAGAAGTGATCGTTCTTTTTCTTTCTAAATTACACTTTTTAAAAAGCCGGGGCCTTCACAAAAACAATCGCTCTACTCTTTGGAGTAGAGGTCAAGGTCTGTGGACATCTCACCCTCCCTGACCCCACCTCCAAGTGGGACATACGGGCTTAATTTTGTTCGGTTTACAAGCTTGCTAATATCTGAATGAGGAGTCTTACGAAACATGCGCCTGATTTATAAATGGCAAGTTAAGTTGAGGAGATTTAGGTATGTGTACAAGTGTATTTACCTTATTTGTATTTTTATTGTTTTTACTTCTGACCCATGAGCCCACTACGTACCTGTTTCAATTGGGTCTTTCTCGTATAGTTGATGCTAAAGTTTTGCTCTTTTGACTTGTCCTAGTCTGAAACTATATTTCTGTGTTATAATTGATATAAAATAACAACTTATGATATCTTTCATCTGTGACTTGCATGCATTTCATAACATTGTTAAATCTTTTGGTTTTCAAATGAAATGTAGATGAAAAAATGAATATGCTCTGTCAGTTTGGAACTTGTTGCTACATTGTTGCCGTCTCCTGTATAATGATATCACCATGTTAGGTGCCAATTTTAATCAGCTSCGGTTATTGTGTTGCATYCATTAACCACTTTTGGAGCTCAMACTGTGMTTATAATTCTCGGTTCCATCTCCCAGATTAACGACTATAGAAAGTGAAAAGGGTTTTAGCTCATGATGGAGCTGAAGCTGCTAACTGCCGCTGATGTCCCACCTCCTCTATCAGTGATTGCCGTATCAACACTTGCAGGTGTTTCGCTCACTGTTGAGTCCACTCTCACGTCTGCCTCTCCACCTGTTCTTGTCCTGCCCAACGGGTAATGCAAATCCATTCCTTGTTTCATGGTTTTCTTTGAACAAAATGTGTGCTAGCTGGTTGTTAAATTGTCTATAGATGACAAGCTTACGAAGATATCTTTGTATACTGAAGATTGAGTTCTAATCAATATCGCCATGACTTAAGCTTCTCACCATATTTGGTGTTTAAGCAGTTTCTTTCACTTCCTTGCATTGTATAACCTCTTTTCTGAAAGGTATTCAGATCAAGTTTTTTTGTGAGTTTATAATTCATGTTTGTAAATGTATTTATGAGGGTGCAATCATCTTATCTTGAAGTTACTGAAAAGAGACATTGTTGATGCTGTGTTCCTGGCAAAATCCAGCACCCAAGCTGGAATAAACAAAAGATAGATAGGTTAGTAAAGAGCCAAATGTTACACATGGTGTCTTCATGTTATGTTGGAGGCTTGCTAAAAGCTAAATTCAATTGCTAGGTGAAGGCATAATATGGAAATTATTGACTATATGGAAATATATTCCCTCCTTGCCTAAGTAATTGTTTTGATTAGTAAATAGGCTCCCAGGCTCATAAGGCTCAAGATCTTGGGCTTTTTTAAGTCGAGGCACGGGGCTCACTAAGGCCCTGTGTTTTGGCTGAGGCTTCTTGTGGGCCTAGGCGTTACTCATAAAGAGTTATTAAATACATAAGCAAACCCTAATATTAACTAAGTTTCTCATCTTCTAACTTAAAAAAAGAGTTATTAAATAGATGATATAAGTCAAACCATAATATTTAATATCCAGTCCTTAGAATTTTAAGCCTCCTTCAGTTCTCCTCTATAAATACCCATACCTTAAAACTTCTCCCATAGTGTATTGAATTGTGTGTGTGTATATATATACTTTGGTAAGATGCGCCTTGCATTCTTGAGGCCCGCTCCTCACGCCCGCGGGACCTCTTTGTGCCTAAGTGCGCGTTGAGCCTTTAACAACTTTGGTAGAGGACACGTCTGCCTATGTCCCACCCCGACCCCACCGCGGGTGATGGATGGGATATACGGGGTTCGTTTGGTTTGGTTAGGTATGACAAATACTCGATAGATAAATCGTAATATGTAAGTAGTATATGTTTAAAAATGATTGGTTCTAAAAATGAAAATGAATCAATAATAAGTTATTAACTTCAAATATGGGAACTAGAGGATTTGACATATAAAGTCAAAAAGGGTAATCATTCTAGAATTTGGATGACCTACAGTCAGGTATCTTTTTTGGGTTTTAGAGTTCATACCTTTTTTCTCTGTTCCTTTTGTATGCGTTACCATGAACTAATGTGACAGTGTCATGGTGGGTATTCATGTCAATATACTAATAATGATAATAAGTTTGTTTCGCTCAAGATTTTGAGCATGATATGCTGTGTTTGTATTGACTCAACATTTTTTGTAGGCTGAAGTTACATGGAACAAATGTACTTCTTCGGTATCTTGGCCGTACAACCACCATCATTCCCAGCTTGTACCAGGGAGATGCCTTTGAAATTGGGCAGGTGAATTCTCTTTTTTCCTTTGTTTTCAAGGAGATTTCAATTTGAAGCACAATGTTGTCCTTAGTGCATCTCCAAGAGAGAGGACTTTTTTTATATTGTTAAATAATTTAATAATATAATTAATGTTCGAATCTCCAAAATGAAGGAACTATTGGAGTTGAATGTAATTTTTTTTTTGTTGAGATTTTTGACTTTTATTTCTCCATTTTAGAGGAACTGTTGGAGATGCTCTTATTATTCATATTCACTTGAGGATCTTAGTTTTTATTTCAAGGATCACTAATTATTCTGTATCGATCTTTTTACTGTTTCTTCTAGATTGATGAGTGGCTCGAGTATGCCCCTATTTTTTCTTCTGGTTCTGAATATGAGGGGGCATGTAAGTATGTTGATGGATATTTACTGCAGCGCACTTTCTTGGTTGGTCATAGCTTATCAATTGCAGATATGGCTGTCTGGTCATATCTTGCAGGTAAATCTTATTAGTTGTGCCCTAATGCTTTCGTATTTTGGTGTCTCATCTCCTCTAGATATACACAATCTATCTTAATTGGGATGAAACAGAAGTGGACAGTTTCATTTCTGCATATATTATTAGCGCAGTTTCATTTCTGCATATATCTATTTTAACACCATATGCATATGTTTATTTATGATTTACCATCTGAGGATGGTCAATGATGTAACTTATTCAAAAATTTGTTGTAGATATAGGTTGAACGTCGAAATGTGTTGCCTCATGTTGGTTGACCTGCGACAACTTTTCTTGAATTTCATAAATAATTTATTTATTATATATGATAACAAAAACTATTTATCAAAATAATGATCCAGTTAATAGCTCAATTAGGAGGTCGCAAACACTTGAGTATACTTTAAGCAATTTTTAAACAGTTCGACCCATTTGACCTGCTTTCTTTTAATCTACAAAATATAACCCAGATTGACCCTTTTTCATATAAATAGGCTGAATTTTTCCCGCTATATCTTCAATACCTAGAGTTGTCATGTACTAGTTGATTAATGCATTCTTTTGGGATAACCATGGGTGTCCTGGCTAGCCAACTTTCATGCACCTCGACTAATCTCATGGGGCCTTGAGGTTACAGCCGGGAAAACCTCCAGTGGCTCTCAGGGGGCTCGAACCGGTGACCAATGGGGAGCAAACCCAATGCCTGACCAGTTGAGCTCAGGGGCGGATCCACCCTTCGGGGTGTGGTAGAGCATCTCCAACAAATTCTCCAAAATGGAGAAAATGGGGATTTTGGGCAAATATTTGCTCCAACAGATTCTCCAGAACTTTCTCCAAAATGGAGAAAATAGGAGAGTGTAAATTTCTCCAAATTTGGAGATCTCCTAAAAAATGATTGCCATGAGAGAGATGATTTTTTATTATATTCCACCAATAGATAACCCTGAAATGGAATGTTTATGAGAGAGAGATAATATTTAATTAAATGTATGAAATATTTTAATGATGTAATCTCCAAAATGGAGAATTTGGTGGGAGATGAATGCAATTTTTTTAGAGACTTTGAACTTTGGTTCTCCACCTTGGAAAACTTTTGGAGAATCTGTTGGAGATGCTCTAAATTTCTTGGGGTGAAACCATATCTTGGGGTGAAGCCCTAAGCTTTAATACTTTTAGGGGTTTAAAACTCCAAATTCTCACAAGTTGAGGAAGGTAGTTGGAATAAGTTACAGTTTTGACCCTTCAAAGACTTTAACATTTTCAATTTACTTCCATTTCTTTTTCATTTTTCATTTTTCATTTTCTACCTTATCATATTAATTAATTAATAGCTAAAATATACATTAAAAAATACATATTCGTTTTTGGAAAGTCTACCGTTAGAAATTCCTTCGAAATGAGCTCAATATGGAATATTTTTATAAAATTAATTATTTTTTGACGTTAACACAAATAGATGATAACATACTTTAACGTTAATGGCATACGTGTATGATAAATGTAAATATTTAACCATCATTAAATACACATTTGCCTCGATGTTTGTCGTTGATTCTTGTTTTTTTTCTAATAAAATTTACCGTGAATTATAAGGTTAAACTTTTTAAAATAAAATTAATGTGAATACAAATTTTGATTAGCGTCTTTTTGGTTAGAGTTAATTTGTTTATACTGATGTAATAGTGTTAACATAATAACATGTTAGCGAAATCTTTAGGGTTATTTTGTGTATATTTGACCCCCTCTGCAAACTTTAGGGTTATTTGCTATTTGCTTAGAGTTAAGTTGGGCTATTTTTAGACTTGTAGGTTTTTTTTTGTAAATCAGGGACTAACTTTGTAGGTTAATTTGTTTATATTTGGGGTTAACTTTTTTGACTTTAGGGTTTACTTGTTTATATTTGAGGTTAATATGTTGTATTTCGAACCGATCATGTAGATCACCAAGTGGAAAATTAGAAATGCACCGACAATTGATTGGTTTTAAAGTTTTAAGAGAACTTTTTGAAAGTAAACTAGTGTACCAGTTTTTTAATGACTTAAATACTTAATGGACCCAGAATAGCCGCAAATAGAGTCTGTGTGATAATTTTATTATTAGTTTATAAATTATTTATATTACGAAAATATTTTTGTGATACCACTGCCAAAAAAATCCTGGATCCACCACTGGTTGAGCTATGCCTAAGGATGATTAATAACTTTATGGGTGTTGCTTTTTTGTATCTTATGGTACCATGAATGTTAAAATTCTCGCTGTCTACAGGTGCTGGTAAGAGATGGGAAAGTTTAATGAAGTCAAAGAAGTACCAAAACTTGGTACGGTGGTACAACATGATTTCTTCAGAGCATGCTGCTGTCTTGGATGAAATAACTGCAACATATACAAAGAAAAAGGACATGGGAAAGTCCATATCTACCAAAACAAAAGAAGGCGAACAACATAATAACAAACAGATTGTTAACGGAAATGTTAACGAAAGTGGGAAAGTCACCAGCCGACCTGAAGTAGATCTGCCGGATGCAGAGATGGGAAAAGTTTGCTTGAGGTTTGCACCCGAACCAAGCGGTTATCTTCACATTGGCCATTCAAAGGCTGCCTTGATGAATCAGTATTTTGCGCAGCGGTACAATGGGAAAGTAATTGTGCGCTTTGATGATACAAATCCCTCCAAGGAGAGTAGTGAATTTGTGGATAATCTTTTGATAGATATCAAGACTCTGGGCATAAATTACGAAAAAGTTACGTATACTTCTGATTACTTTCCGCAGCTCATGGAAATGGCGGAGAAGCTGATGAGAGAGGGCAAGGCATATATCGATGATACCCCACGTGAACAAATGCAGAAAGAAAGGATGGACGGAATTGATTCCAAGTGTAGGAACAACAGCCTCGATGAAAACATTAAGTTATGGAAGGAGATGATTGCTGGATCTGAAAGAGGACTACAATGTTGTTTGCGAGGGAAGTTGGACATGCAAGACCCAAACAAATCACTTCGGGATCCCGTATACTATCGTTGCAATCCAATCCCACATCATAGAATCGGGTCTAAATATAAAATATATCCAACATATGATTTTGCATGTCCTTTTGTTGATTCTATTGAAGGTATTACCCATGCACTTCGATCTAGTGAGTATCATGACCGCAATGCTCAATATTACCGGATCCAAGAGGATATGGGTCTTAGGAAGGTTCATATATATGAATTCAGCCGGTTAAATATGGTTTATACACTTCTAAGCAAACGCAAACTACTATGGTTTGTTCAAAACGGAAAGGTTGATGGGTGGGATGATGCTCGTTTCCCAACTGTCCAAGGAATTGTGCGCAGAGGTCTACAGATCGAGGCGTTGATACAATTCATACTTGAACAAGTAACCTTCTGTACACTTGAGTACTTTTGAAAATGTCATCACTATCTGCGAGTAGCAATTTCGTTCATATTGTGTATCCTTTATGGTTCTTAATATTGGCTTCTATTTGTATTGTTATTGCTTACTTGGATTTTCAAAATTTAGCATATCTGTCTCTCTTTCACACTTTTTACAAGTCGGGGATCTTCACTGAAACAGCCGCTCTACTCTTTTGGGTAGAGATTAAGGTCTGCATACATGTTACCCCCGACCCCACGTTCGGGTGGGAAATACTGGCCTTGTTTTATTTTTCTGTATGGTTCTTAATGTAGGTTATGCTATTCACCCAAGACTGCCTAAATATTTAAAAGACCACCCATTTGATGTTTGCATTTCTGATATGATCCATATTTTTGCAGCTGTGAATCTGAGAAATGATAATCTAACTAGTTGTGTATCCGCGCAATGCAGCGGGATCCGTGAATTTTAACGATTTTGAATTTTCATTGGTTTTATTAGAGATGATTTAACGATGATATAAGTTACATTTGGTCTTTACAATTACAATTTGAATAAATAAGAGTTATGGTTCCAATTACAGTCTATCGATGAAAAAAATTGTATGATAGTTTAAAATCCAATATATTTAAAATTCAACATATTTAAACGATTCCACAAATGTGTTCGATTTACACCAAGAGCAAAGAATCGAGAGCGAGACTGAAAGTTCTAGAGCAATTGAATGAGAGATGAATGAAAGAACTTTTAATAACTCATGGTGAATATTAGTTTGAATATCACCTTGGGGATGGGGAGAAGACATAGAGGTATGAGATGGTGAAGACATGAGTGAAAGGTTCAAAAGTATCTTAGGAACATGAAAGGAAAAAGTAATTATGTGCATTGGTAACTTGTACTATATGTTATTTTAATTGTAGATTAAGAGATTTTAAGATTGAATGCATAAAGTAGTAGTACTTAATGCATTATGAGTTGTTTTTAAGCCTTTTTAGACTTTGTGCATAAATGTATAGTACTTTATGCTTTAAAAATTGTTTTTAAGACTTTTGATAAATCTGGTGGATAAGGTAGTAGTATAGATACCCATTTTTAGGCTATGTTTGGCAAACTTTTCTATGATATATTAGCTGTTGGCTGATAAACTAATCTTTTCTGGTAAAAACTCGTTGAAAAAAAAAAATATGACCTAAAACTGTTAGGGTTTTTGGTCATTTATGTAATATATATGGGGCATAATTGGAAACAAGTGAAAAAACCCTGAAGCTTGTTGAGACGCCATCTGAAGTAGCTTATGGCTTACCAAATGGGGTTTTTCCAATAAGCTCAAAAAATAAGCTAGCTTATGGTTGCGAAGCGTGACCTTAATTGTTTATATTTCTTTCCTATTATGTGATATAAGCTATTGTGGATTGTTTTTAGTTGCTGGAGCTTACATTTGTTTCAATTTCTTTTCCACAGGGTGCATCAAAGAATCTGAATCTTATGGAATGGGATAAGCTCTGGAACATCAACAAGAAAATAATCGATCCTGTTTGTCCCAGACATACCGCAGTTGTTGAAGAAGGTCGTGTGTTGTTGACTCTGTTGGATGGGCCGGAACATCCGTTCGTACGTGTAATACCGAAGCATAAGAAATATGAGGGAGCTGGGGAAAAGGCGACCACTTTTACAAAGAAAATTTGGATTGAACAAACTGATGCCAAATCCATATCAGCTAACGAAGAGATTACATTAATGGATTGGGGAAATGCAGTCGTTAAAGAAATCAAGAATGGCCCAGATGGTACTGTGACGGAACTAATTGGGGTTTTGCATCTCCAAGGATCTGTTAAAACCACGAAGCTAAAACTTACGTGGTTACCTGAGATTAACGAACTTGTTCCACTAACTCTGGTGGAGTTTGGTTATCTAATCACGAAAAAGAAGGTATGCTTTGTTCTTTCTTTTCTTGATATCTTAATTTTTCTCTAAAAATTGCTAAAATGATATCCAGCTTTGCATCTACTTTTGGCATGAAGTCCTTGTATTTGATGTGTAGTTAACTGCCTATGTTGGATGATACATGTATGAATTTGTTGACTTCTTTATCCCTACACTTGGGCTTGTATGTTCTTGTCTATTTTAAGTCGATTTTCTTGTTCCAAGTTCTTTTTTCTTACATTCTCCTTTGCTATTAACCCTCTTTATTTCGCACCCTTTTTACAAACCCGGGGGGGGGGGGGGGGGGGTTCATTGAAACAACCACTCTGCTTGCATTTCACCCCCATACCCCACCTATGTTATACTGGGTTTGTTTTGGTTTTTTCTTCAAACTTTTGACTGTTGCTGTAATGGGAAAAACTTCCAGGATTTATGAAACATACCTATTCATTTGCATCTCATTGTTTGATTTATTTTTAAATAGTTGTTTTCAAAACAATCAAGATTGGTTTCAATGACATGAAATGAATTCTGTAACTTTAGACCCATTTGTCCCTTGGAATTTATGTTGTGGAAAACTTGTGAAAACTAGTAAACACTCTGCATGCATTCTTCATTATTTGGTGTGAACTTGAACTTGTTAGCCATCTGTAGATGTCTTTATTGAAATGGGTTATTTTGATGGATATGAGAACACCGAATGCCTCAAAATCTATGGAAAAACAAGAGATTGTTGATTATATAAATGTTTGTTTTGTTGATGCAGGTGGAGGAAGATGAGGACTTTGTTGATGTGGTGAACACAGAGACTAAGAAGGAGATTGCAGCAGTTGGGGATTCTAATATGAGGAATTTGAAGCTTGGAGACATACTGCAGCTGGAGAGGAAAGGCTACTTCAGATGTGATGCTCCTTTCATTCGACCTTCAAAACCTATTGTACTCTACGCCATTCCAGATGGCAGGCAAACCGCAACCAAGTAAGTCGGTTTCCACCTCCTTTCCGGATGTTGTTTGTTAGTAACATATATGATTTTGAAACCAAATTATGATTATGATTGTGATTTTGTTTCGTTTAATATTACTAGTTTTTTCTATATTCTTGGATTCTATGCGTCTCATTCCCTGTTTTAGAAAGGATTTCAAGCGAATAATGAATCAGGAGTATTTGGTTAAATGAGTTTTATGTACCAACTTTCTAAAGACTTCATAGAACCACAGGTATGGTTTTGATTAAAGTTCATGCTTCTGATTAAAAACTTATATGGTCAAAATACCCACATTAGGACATGTATTTCCTTCGTGGAGAATAAGGGGGTGTTTGGTTCACAAAATGGAATTTGATGGAATTGGAATCCATCAAAGGAATTTGACTTTGAAGGAATTGGAATGGAATTTGACCATGTGTTTGGTTGGTAGGAATTAGAATGAAATCTCTCAATAGAATTGGAACAATCATCTTTGTATGTACTATCCCATCCATCGCCCCGCCACACACCCTACCAGCCACCATGTCACTAATGTCGTCGTCACAACTATCACCCGCCCTTCCCCCACCACTTCTGCCCTACCCTGCTCCATAGGTGGGGATTGTTGCGGGCAGGCAGGGGTGGGGYGAGGMWGTGGGTTTGRAGCCARAGTGGGGCAATAGGTGGCAATGTGATAGTTGTGATGACTACAGTGGTAGGATGGTGGTTAGTGATGGGTTAGAGTAGGGTAAGGTAGGGTGGGGGCAAGGCAGGACGGTGGGGTGGGTAGGGGTAGGTGGCGGGGTGGTAGCTGTGATGATGCTAGTGGTGGGATAGTGGTCGGGAGGCTGKGGCCAGGGAGTGGGTGGGTATGACGACAATAATAGTGGCATGGTGTTTAGTGGTGAGTTGGGGTAGGGTGGGGTGCGGGTGAATGGCGGTTGTGAAGGCGACAATAGTAGTGTGGGGGTGGAGGGTTAGGTTAAGGGCGGTAGGGGCGGGGTGGTGGGGATCAATGACAGTTGTGACGATGATAGTGGTGGGATGATGGTCAGGGTGATTGGGAGTGGGTGGATATGATGACGACAATAGTGACATAGTGGCTGGTGGTGGTTAGGGTAGGGTGCGGTAGGGTGAGTGGCAGTTGTGACGACGACAATAATGTTGTGGTGGTGGGGGTTAGGTTAGGGGGTGACACTAACGTTAGTAGCATAGTCGTAGTAGGGATGTGTAGTGAGTGACCGGAGGGTGGGTGGGTGTGATGACAACAGTAGTGGCATAGTGGTTAGGGTGGGGTAGGGTGAGTGGCAGTTGTGACGACGACAATAATGTTGTGGTGGTGGGGGTTAGGTTAGGGGGTGACACTAACGTTAGTAGCATAGTCGTAGTAGGGATGTGTAGTGAGTGACCGGAGGGTGGGTGGGTGTGATGACAACAATAGTGGCATAGTGGTTAGGGTGGGGTAAGGTGGGTGGCAGAGACATCAGTGATGGGGGTTAAGGGTGGGGCATCATGAACAATAGTAGAATGATCGTGGTGGATGGTGATGGAATTCAATTCCTTCCATTATGCCAAGAAATGATGAATTCATTAACTTGTGGAATTCAATGGAATTTGAAGGATTCCATCCATACAAGAAATGAACCAAACAAAGGAATTGAAATTTGGTCAAAGGAATTTGTCATTCCAATTCCATCAAATTCCTTCGAATTCCGCGAACCAAACGACCCATAAGGGTTCAAGTTCCACTAAAGGTGATATTGTGCGATAATTGGTATTGAAATGTGGAAACGCCAAATCATGGAATTCATGGAGTGGTGGTTGTGGTGACAATGACTTGATTATGGTTTTATTCAAGTTGGATTTGGGTGTTTGTTCGTCGGAGATGGTGGTGGTGGTGGTGGTTATAGGACTTGGTATGTTTTCAATATTTTTCTTCAATATTTTTCTCCAATATCGTGTATTGATTAATTGTAATTCGTTCGTAAAGGTGTATACCATATATCAATCAACTTTTAAGCAAATATTTTAGGGTTTTTAATTACAAGGAATAAAACTTTCAAACATTTTAATATCCAAACAAGAAAGTTGATGATTCGAAACTTAAAAAATCATTAACTATGTTTATAAATAATAAATACTCTATCATGGTATTACTATGGTACATGACTTCCTATGCGATTTATTAACCAAGTTTACGTACTTGGTATGATATTTACATGACTTTCAATGCCGTTTATTAACCAAGTTTATGTACTTGGTATGATATTACCAACCAACTGTAATCGGTATTAATTTAATTGGTATAGTCGTTTTGGTACAATGCTAGTGTTACACCCGTTTGTTGGTCGGGTACATAAGAAATAACTAATGAAACAAAAAAATATGTTAATTTGGCTATGCTAGTCATGGGTAGGCCGTTAACATGAATGATGTCTCGCAATTTTTTGGACTATGAGAGTACAAATAATATCTTCTCTTGAGAATCATATATTACCGAGCTAGAACAACATCAACGCATATAGCAAAATTAGGGTTTTTGATTGAGGATGACAATAATAGAGACCAAAATGATTTTAATTTACTCTTTTAACATGTATATGAATGATGATAATCTAAAGTTTGGTTCATCATTGCGCAACAACGTACAACACAGTTTCCCCTTGCTTGTCGTTTTACAATTAGGAATCTCTTTTTTCTCTCCAAATCTATCGGTCCATATGGTTTCAAACCAAAAAAACCTTGATTGTGTTTGAGGGAAGAAGTATGTGGAGGATTTCTTGGATCAGAGAGCCCTCCATTTCTTTTTTTTTGGGTCAATTGATGGATTATATCAACATACAAGTTTTTCTGGTATCCGTATCTAACCAACTTTTTGAAAAAAATGATTGCAAATCACATAATAAACTTCACCATAACACAAGAGTCCAGTTGAGAAAGGGCCAAGATCATATCATGGAATGTGATAAAAATTTCACAGAAACAAAATTCACTAAAATCATTGTTATATAATATGATCAAAGAGGAAGAAAGAAGAGAATGGTGAAATACCTTTCGTGTGGTTATGTGAGATAATGTTTGAGCAGTCTTTGGCTAAAGGAGAGAGATCAAAGAATGATTCAGGGATATGGTGTTTGATACAGAATATGAATTTAAGAGGATGGGTGACAGATTTAAAGGACATATCAGTCATAAACAATCAATCTAAAGAGAGACCATGAATTCAGGGGAGTGGGGGTGAAAAATTACAGGTCTTTGGAGGAAAGGTGGAAATGGAGGAGGAATTGAGACGGAGAGAAATGATGAGTTTAATTTAAATTTAAGGGAATTTGTGATAGAATGGGTAAATAATGCTTTAAATTAAATAGTTGTACATTAATGATCAAAACTTAAACTTCTTATTTGTTTACAATAATTATTTAACGTGTTTCATAATATATTACAAATAATTATGTAAAATGAAAAATTTGGGAATATAAAACAAATTAAATAAATAACTATAGTGCTTAAAACATAAGTTCT